CACTGAGATCCTGGTTGAAGAAGGCAGAGGTGTATTTAGAGGGTAAATTAGTCAGGATGATATCTATGAGGGTGCCCATGTTTATGGATTTAGGGTTGTACCTGGTAGGTTCCTTGATAATTTGTGTGAGATTGAGGGCATCTAGTTTAGATTGTAGGATGGCCGGGGTGTTAAGCATATCCCAGTTTAGGTCACCAAGCAGTATGAACTCTGAGGATAGATGGGGGGTAAGCAATTCACATGTGGTGTCCAGGGCACAACTGGGGGCTGAGGGGGGTCTGTAGCAAGCGACAACAGTGAGAGACTTATTTCTGGAAAGGTGGATTTTTAGAAGTAGAAGCTCAAACTGTTTGGGCACAGACCTGGATAGTATGATAGAGCTACAGTAGATTGCTACTCCGCCCCCTTTGGCAGTTATATCTAGACTGAAAATGTTGTAGTTTGGGATGGAAATGTCTGAATTTTTGGTGGCCTTCCTAAGCCAGGATTCAGACACTGCTAGAACATCAGGGTTGGCAGAGTGTGCTAACGCAGTGAATAACTGAAACCTGGGGAGGAGGCTTCTGATGTTAACATGCAAGAAACCAAGGCTTTTACGATTACAGAAGTCAACAAATGATAGCGCCTGGGGAATAGGAGTGATACTGAGGGCTACAGGGCCTGGGTTAACCTCTACATCACCAGAGGAACAGAGGAGGAATAGAATAGCTGGATTACGGAATCAACTCTGTATACTGTGATTTACCCTCCTGCGCCTGACTCCTTCAAATCACGCATCACAGAATCACCCACCCGAAATGGAGTCAGCAGGAGAGGAGCGCATGCCTGGAGTCATGGCACGGGTCCAGGAGCATTCAACAATGCTAGCCAGTTTGGGAGAAGCGTCAGGTTCTCCAGGTCGTCCAACGCCTGGAGAGGAGAGGACCCGATCTGTCGAGACCAGCTGGGCAACCGGATCCAGCCACACACACCCCAGCACCCAGAAGGATCCATATATCCCGACCACGGGAGTTTGACAGGACAGCTGCTCTCTGCCAGGGATTCCTCCTCCAACTGGAGCTCTACATCTCCAGCATCAGGCCGGCCCCATCGGAGCGGGAGAAGGTATCCGCCCTCGTCTTCTGCCTCTCGGGGAAAGCCCTGGAGTGGGCCAACGCGGTCTGGAACGAAGGAGGAGCCGCGTTGGACAACTACGGGGAGTTCGCTCGCCTCTTTCGGGCTGTCTTCGATCACCCGCCCAAAGGTCGATAGGCGGGCGAGCGGCTGGTCCACCTGAGGCAGGAGACGAGGACTGTGCAGGACTTCGCCTTGGAGTTTTGGACTCTAGCAGCTGGGTCCTGGTGGAACGAGGGGGCCCTTATCGACCACTTCCGGTGCCATCTGCAGGAGGACGTCCGAAGGGAGCTAGCCTGCCGGGACACCATGTTGTCCTTCACGCAACTGGTGGACATGGCCATCCGTTTGGACAACTTGCTGGCGGCCAGAGGACGTCCTGGAGGGGGTCTGTCCGTTCCAACCCCGGCCGACTCGGATCATGAGCTGATGGAGCTGGGTGGAGCCGCGATCCGAGAGAGCGGAGGACGACAGCGCCAGTGTCACTCTGGTGGTACGAAGGGACATTACACCGCACGATGTCGTCAGCGTTCTTTTGGGTCTGGAGGCGGCAGGTAGGGCACTCTCGCATCACCCCAGGTATCGAACACCCACACTTGTTCAGAGCCCTCTGCTGTGCACTGTACCCTACCCATCCAATTTCCTGATCTCATTGTAGTTCCCCAGTGTCAGGCGCAGCTGGGAACTTTATGGACAGGGCATTCTCACACAGTCTAGGCATTTCATTGGTTCCCCTATCCATTCCACTCCCCATCAGAGCACTTGATAGTCAACCATTAGGGTCCGGGTTTGTTAGGGAAGTTACCGCACCAATCACCATGATTACCCACGAGACTCATTGCGAGCAAGTCACGCTTTTTATCATTGAGTCTCCTGCTTTCCCTGTGGTACTAGGTATCCCTTGGTTAGCACTCCACAACCCCACATTCTCATGGCCGCAGAGGGTTTTCACAGGGTGGTTGCGAGAGTGTCAGGGTAGGTGTCTCTGTGTTTCCGTTGGTGCAACCACTGTGGAAAGTTCAGACTGTACCTCCACCGTGCGCATTCCACCCAAATACCTCGATTTGGCGCACACGTTTTCCAAAACGCAGGCGACCAAGTTACCACCTCATTGGGCGGGGGATTGTGCGATAAACCTCTGGGTAGACGCTGTGCCTCCCAGGAGTCTTGTGTATCCCTTGTCACAGGCTGAAACGGACGCTATGGAAACATACGTCACCGAGTCCCTATGCCAGGGGTTTATACGTCCCTCCACCTCACCCGCCTCCTCAAGTTTCTTTTTTGTGAAGAAGAAAGACGTCGGTCTGCGCCCTTGCATTGATTATCGATCACTGAACAAGGATACAATTTAGTTATCCTCTTCCCCTCATTCCTTCAGTGATATGTTATCTAGTGGAAACCGAGGAGGAAGGCCAGTGAAAAGTTGTGTGTGTTAGTTGTGGGGGTGATCATGGGGCTGGAGATTGGAGGTGTCCGGTGAGAGGAAGGCAGATTGAGGTTGCCAGGGTAAGAGCAGTACAGAAAGTGTTGTATGCCGAAGCAGTAAAGATAGTGGCAGAGGAAGATGGGTACAGGGTGAGGGATCCTGAGAGGATTCTTGTGAGTAGGCAGAGATCAAGAGAGAGTGATGGGAAGAATATGTGCTTCAGTAAGGTGGGCTTTTTAGCATTTATAGCCATGGTTGTTAATTGTACTGCAGAAATGAGTCAAAAGTCACAGAAAATAGAGGTTGTAGTGGCAGCAGCAGAGAAGTGCTTGGGATTGTCTCTGAAGATGGAGACTCTTATCTCCCTCACTAACTTTAGGCGTCAGTTGTCAGAGTAGCTTACCGATCACTGCACCTGTACACAGCCCATCTGTAATTAGCCCATCCAACTACCTCATCCCCATATTGCTATTTATTTTTGCTAATTTGCACCCCAGTATCTCTATTTGCACATCATCTTTTGCACATCTATCATTCCAGTGTTAATATGAAATTGTAACTATTTTGCACTATGGCCTATTTATTGCCTTACCTCCATAATCCCAAAGATAAGGCAAATCCCCGCCTTATCTTAGCTCATTGGTCACCATAGCAACACCCACCCGTAGTCTGCGCTCCAGCAGGTATATCTCACTGGTCATCCCCAAAGCCAACACCTCCTTTGGCCGCAATTCCTTCCAGTTCTCTGCTGCCAATGACTGGAACAAATTGCAAAAATCTCTGAAGCTGGAGACACTTATCTCCCTCACTAACTTTAAGCATCAGTTGTCAGAGCACCTTACCGATCACTGCACCTGTACACAGCCCATCTGAAATTAGCCCGCCCAACTACCTCATCCCTATATTGTTATTTATTTTGCTCATTTGTATCCCAGTATCTCTATTTGCACATCATCTCTTGCACATCTATCATTCCAGTGTTAATACTAATTGTAATTATTTTGCACTATAGCCTATTTATTGCCTTACCTCCATAACTTGCTACATTTGCACACACTGTATATATATGTATTTCTGTTGTATTTTTGACTTTGTTTTGTTTACCCCATATGTAACTCTGTGTTGTTGTTTTTATCGCACTGCTTTGCTTTATCTTGGCCAGGTCGCAGTTGTAAATGAGAACTTGTTCTCAACTGGTTTACCTGGTTAAATAAAGGTGAAAAAAATAAAATAATAATAATAATAATTTACTACATTTGCACACACTGTATATATATTTTCTGTTGTATTTTGACTTTATGTTTTGTTTACCCCATATGTAACTCTGTGTTGTTGTTTTTATCGCACTGCTTTGCTTTATCTTGGCCAGGTCGTAGTTGTAAATGAGAACTTGTTCTCAACTGGCTTACCTGGTTAAATAAAGGTGAAATAAAAAAAGTAAAACAAAAAATTGTGAGGATTTACTGCAGAACAGCTGCAGGGGGTGTTGAGTGGTAGTGATATGTCCTCTCAGACCATTGGTCTGGAGTAGGACTAGGTAGGGTTAAATAGTGCAATGGGTGGTGTTTTTCTTAGAGAGGTGGTACGGTAATATTCATTTTCCCCAATGTTGTATTATTGTATCAAATAATATAATGTAGGTGGGTGATTCTGCAACTATGGGCACTTCTATGTCCTCTGGGTTAATTTGGGGGATTTTATTTTAATAAAATGTTTTTATTCTTTATATGTTAAGTTCAAACTGCAATCACCCCAGATTTTTTAAATACCTCTCTATCAAGTATTTTAGCTACTTTCAGATGCATTTTATACCTCAATTTGACTGTTTTGCCCTTGTCCCTGACCAATACTTTTGAGGTAAATGAGTATATCATGTATAATTTATATTGACTGATTTGTTTTAGATAAGGAAATCATAATCTCACAAAAAGGTTGGGTGGAAATTTCTTATTTTCCATGATAAATACATGTTTTCAGCTGTCACAAAGGCAAGTTTATACATTCAGGCGAATCATTAATATTAGGAAAACCTTACAAATCCCTAAAAATAATATTCAATACGAGTTAATGTACAAATGTATAAGAAATGTATTATAAATTAATTGTATGATATTTCCTTTTCAACTAAAATGGATGTTTAATGACGTGATGGAAACTACATTTGTCTATGGCTGTCTGAGAAAATTGACAAAAATATAAACATTCATGAATAGTACGATCGCAGCCATTATCAGCCATTATTATCATTATCATTATTGTTTCTAGACAAATCAAAGACAATTATAATACTGGTAAAATTGTGTTTCGTTAAGTTTTAATTTCTGAAAGCTTGCAACGCCGAAGTGCCCGAAGTTGCAGTTACCCATGTAGACCGTAAATGGCCTCACACACCAGTACAGTAGGTGGCAGTGTATGCAACTAAAAGTTGGATGCGATCCGCCAAACAAATTCCAAAGAAGAAGAAAGGACAGTGTTACAAAACGTGAAGATTTAATTGAAAAAACAATCTGATTCCCGTTTCTTGGTTGCAATACGTAGACTAAATATTGTAACTTTTGGCGGAGTCATGTATCGGCGACCATTGCAGTCCGCTGTGAGGAACATAATACATACGTCAAAATCCAGAGTCACCTTCGGAAAGGTAATTTAAGGCTTGCTCACATGAAGGCTATTGATAGCTAGCTAATAGCTTTAGCTAACTGTCAGGTCGCAACATTTACTGTATTGGCTGCCAAATAAATTAACTCCAGCGCCAACCAAATTGCGCGCCCTGTCGGATTGGAACATGAAGAATGGATAGTTGCCTTATTCTATTGTCTTGAATGTTCCAAAAACATAAGCTAACGTTAGCTAACATTACTTCCAACCCAGGTGAACTTGGACGTGACCAGACTGTCACTAACTTATTTCAATATTCCTCCGAAATTGTACTCCAATATCACCTTGCCTTTCTGTGTAAAACATCGAGACAAAAAAATGTGATTAGTTACTTTCATGTAGGCTGCTTCAGCTTTTTGCTGCAGTTTCGAATTCGGATTGTCTTCAGTCCACAGTAACTCTGTTACACACTTCACTAAACCAGAGGCCAAGTAAGGGTACTAAGATCACAACTATACCAATATGACAGCAATACAATATTTTCTTGGTATACAGGTAGCTTAGCTCTCGAGAATCCAATGTGTTGGAGTCAGAAGGGCAACCAGGTAGCTAAGATAGTTCAGCAAAACTTTAAAGCTTTATGAGAAAATTGCCTACTATGGACACATGCACAGATTTTTTTCTTTATAAAATGTATATAATTGGACTTTACTAGTACTACTACTAATTGTCTAATTGCATGGCATATCCACTCCCAAATATGTTGGTAAATAGGTCTAACTGCAGCTGACAGTGCCTTTATTGGATTTACCTGAATGCCACATTTATTCTGTCATTCTTTTAGGCATTAGAGCAAGAGGCCTGTCTTGCAAGAGCTTTAATTGCTTGCCGGTTGTTAGGCGCAACCGCAACCTCTCTGTCCCAGACACAATGCCGGACACTTCACATCACTTCACAGGTATGTGCTTCCCACCATGACTCACATCAAAGCTGGAACAACAGCAAATGTGCATTTACTGATCATGCTTTCAGTCTAGCCAAAGCCTAAGTTAGCCCAATATTGAACTAAAGGAGCCTAATGTTACTCCTTACTCCAAGGACCTTACATGTTCTGTTTAAAGGGCAAAACGGCCAAATACTCCAACTAAACGACAATCGATTCTCAATTGCGGTATTGTTCTAGAGACAGAAATCCCTCTACTTTCATATCGCAATCAAAATTATTTCACAAATGCAAAATACACACTTACTGTACACTATTTTAACCTGATTTAACCAGGGGTTGGAACTGGTTCATGGAACAGACCCAAAAACTGGAAAATGAGAATTGATCCATACTGTTCTGGAACAGATACGTTATTTTTTGAAGCATCGGATCCGGTTAATGACGTTCTTTTACGGTCCAGCCATTTTTTCTAGTCCCACAAAAAAACGCAATAAAGCGCCTATGCAAAGCCGTCACTCAACGTATTCCAGTGTCTGGCTGCAAGCTGAAAATCTTTGCCAGTGTGTGTATGTGTTTAGGCTACCTGCCCCTCCCCCCGCCAAAGCATAGGCTACTGTACTGACATTACAAGCGTGATTCAGAAGATAGGAGAGAGATTTTTTGATTAGCTAGAGAAGAATGGATTAACTTTGCGTCACAATGGTAGGGATTAGCTAAACTGGGCTTGGGTCATTGATAAGTCATTGTCTCAACTCAGCCTTATAATGATGTGATAGGATCCAGGATCCCAAATGATTTGGGTGGATCCCATCCTCCTTATAAAGTGTGTTTTGTTTCCAAAAGGTATCGAAATTGTCAACAAAAGTTGAGCTGCGATAATCACATAGCCAGTTGTGAAGAGAGAATACTGCTAAAGCGTTCAATGCCACAAATTCAGAGGGCACAAGGCCAGATATGATGGGTCTTTTGTTAGTGTCTAGAGTCAAGAGTCAATCAGCTCTTTAAAATCCAGTTTCAACTGTTCAGAGCATCCCTTAATAATGTCATTAAAACCCACAGGGACTACGATAGAATCGATTTCCATGTCCTGACGTAGTACATTCGGGAGCAGCTTAGTAATTTAATTTACTCGAGCTCTGGGATAGGACATAATTTTTTGCACCAGGAACGGTCACATTTCTTACCATGGAGCTGCCCAAAATCACGGCTGGCGAGAAGGACGAGGAAATCCGCCCACTCCCACGCTTCACAGGATTCTGAGAACCCTATGGACGGGTGAGAGGCAGGATAACTTGAGCCTGTTGCTCCCGCTGCCTGGTGCAGGCCTCCGACAGATGAAGAAGCCCCGCTCGATCCAGAGCAGGGACGGAAGGTTGCCGACTTCGAAGTTGTAGTAGGCACTGGGGCCGCAGACACCCCCAGTGACGAAGTTGCAGGAAGATCAGGCTCCAGGACGGCTAAACTATTAGTTGTTTGTATCCGCTCCGGGCTCTTTTGCAAAACTCATCTGGTACCAACTTCGTTAGTTTGATGGCTAGCAGCTTAGCATCTTTGTCAAGCAGTCTTCAACCTGTCTGTTAAGCGCGATTCCGGGACAAGAAATAGCGGTCCTAGCTGTTAAAAGCTAACCGCATCGCGGAATCCACGCAAAAACAAGTTCGGTATTCGTATTTAATGAATAGCAGTTTATTTTTTTAAATAAAAAATAACAAACCGAGTGTTTCCAGCATAGTGTTTTCACATGTAATGCAACTGGCTTGCCTGCGCTATCCACACTAATTGGTGAAGTAATTTAATGAGCTAAATGTAAAAAAACTGTTGATTTCACAGGTTAAAAAAGGAACAGCAAAGAACAATATAAATCGGTACTTTTTGGGGGGATCAAACCGGTTCATAACATTATTTTGCTTGTTGGTACAGTGAAACGGAACAAAATAAATAGTACTTCTGTTTCAGAATGAAACTATTCAAAAATAATTTTGTTTCCAACCCCTGGTTTTAACATAGTTGCCTGAGCTTTGACGCCTGTTCATGGTTTATCTTAGTGACAGAACTCAGGCCATCGTGATTGATGGGGTTAAGTCTGAATTTCTTGAAGTACAGAAATGTTTACCTCAGGTCGATTTTGGGACCTGTTGTCTTCACTATTTATGTAAGCACCATAGGTCAATCTGTAAAAAAATAAAAGAAATACTTCATCTACAGTGGGGAGAACAAGTATTTGATACACTGCCGATTTTGCAGGTTTTCCTACTTACAAAGCACGTAGAGGTCTGTAACTTTTATCATAGGTACACTTCAACTGTGAGAGACGGAATCTAAAAAAAATCCAGAAAATCACATTGTATGATTTTTAAGTAATTAATTTGCATTTTATTGCATGACATAAGTATTTGATACATCAGAAAAGCAGAACTTAATATTTGGTACAGAAACCTTTGTTTGCAATTACAGAGATCATACAATTCCTGTAGGTCTTGACCAGGTTTGCACACACTGCAGCAGGGATTTTGGCCCACTCCTCCATACAGACTCCTCCATACGGACTTTCAGCTCCCTCCAAAGATTTTCTATTGGGTTCAGGTCTGGAGACTGGCTAGGCCACTCCAGGACCTTGAGATGCTTCTTACGGAGCCACTCCTTAGTTGCCCTGGCTGTGTGTTTCGGGTCGTTGTCATGCTGGAAGACCCAGCCACGACCGATCTTCAATGCTCTTACTGAGGGAAGGAGGTTGTTGGCCAAGATCTCGCGATACATGGCCCCATCCATCCTCCCCTCAATACGGTGCAGTCGTCCTGTCCCCTTTGCAGAAAAGCATCCCCCAAGAATGATGTTTCCACCTCCATGCTTCACGGTTGGGATGGTGTTCTTGGGGTTGTACTCATCCTTCTTCTTCCTACAAACATGGCGAGTGGAGTTTAGACCAAAAAGCTCTATTTTTGTCTCATCAGACCACATGACCTTCTCCCATTCCTCCTCTGGATCATCCAGATGGTCATTGGCAAACTTCAGACGGGCCTGGACATGCGCTGGCTTGAGCAGGGGGACCTTGCGTGCGCTGCAGGATATTAATCCATGACGGCGTAGTGTGTTACTAATGGTTTTCTTTGAGACTGTGGTCCCAGCTCTCTTCAGGTCATTGACCAGGTCCTGCCGTGTAGTTCTGGGCTGATCCCTCACCTTCCTCATGATCATTGATGCCCCACGAGGTGAGTTCTTGCATGGAGCCCCAGACCGAGGGTGATTGACCGTTATCTTGAACTTCTTCCATTTTCTAATAATTGCGCCAACAGTTGTTGCCTTCTCACCAAGCTGCTTGCCTATTGTCCTGTAGCCCATCCTAGCCTTGTGCAGGTCTACAATTTTATCCCTGATGTCCTTACACAGCTCTCTGGTCTTGGCCATTGTGGAGAGGTTGGAGTCTGTTTGATTGAGTGTGTGGACAGGTGCAGTTAATACAGGTAATGAGTGGAGAACAGGAGGGCTTCTTAAAGAAAAACTAACAGGTCTGAGAGCCGGAATTCTTACTGGTTGGTAGGTGATCAAATACTTATGTCATGCAATAAAATGCAAATTAATTACTTAAAAATCATACAATGTGATTTTCTGGATTTTTTTTAGATTCCGTCTCTCACAGTTGAAGTGTACCTATGATAAAAGTTACAGACCTCTACGTGCTTTGTAAGTAGGAAAACCTGCAAAATCGGCAGTGTATAAAATACTTGTTCTCCTCACTGTATATGCGGATTATACTATTATGTATTCTATTGCCCTGACTGTTGATCTGGCTGTGTGAAAAACTAAGGTCAGATTTTATTGCTATGCAGGAATCCTCTGCTGATGTAAAACTTGTGCTTAATACGGGCAAAACGAAATACATGTTGTCTTTAAACTCTTGTAAGAATGTTTCAGATTAACTACATGTTCACTCATTAGATGGTTCTCCAATCGAACGTGTTCCAGTATATAAATACTTAGGCATTTGGATTGATATAGATTTGACGTAAAAAACAAACAAACTACTCTTAAACCTTTTGGATGCCATCTACCATAGTGCACTTCATTTTGTTACAGGTGACAGTTTTGATACTCATCACTGCATCCTGTATCAAAAGGTTGGCTGGACTTCGCTAAAGACCCATAGAGCTCTACATTACTCCCTTTTTGTTTATAAGGCCCTACTTCATAAACTTCAATCTTATCTAACTTTGCTGTTGAAGTATAGACACCTGAATTGCCTAACCCGTTCACAGGGTTGGTTAACTCTTGAGGTTCCTAGGGTCTCCACCGAGCTAGGTAAATCTGCTTTTAGTTTTAATGCACCGCTCAGCCCAGTCAAAACTGTTTGCTGCTCTGGCACCCCAATGGTGGAACAAGCTCCCTCACGACGCCCCCCCCAAAAAAAATTTTAAAAAAAAATTGTAAAGTGGTTATCCCACTGGCTATAGGGTGAATGCACCAATTTGTAAGTCGCTCTGGATAAGAGCGTCTGCTAAATGAAGTTAATGTAAAATGTATTGCTGAAACAAAATAAATGTAATCTTGATGTTCTGGTGCCATTCGGGCAATTTAATATATTGATTGGGGACTTATTTGTGGAGGAATGTAACTTTTTCTTGGTGATTTTGTGATTTTATTTATTTGTGCTTACCATGACACGTGTGTGTGTGTGTGTATAATGTGTATATTTATTTTGTGTTATACAGAGCGCATAAAAAAAAAAAAAGTAAAAATAAAATAAAGGTAAAAAAAAATACAAATTAAGTTGTGTATCAATTTAACCTTTTTGTTTTTTAGAAAATTATTTCTTGCTGTTATGAAAGATCAGGTTCTTATGCCTCCAAAACCGTACCGCAAGCGATGCGTGTTAATGTACAGGCCGAGCGTCGCTGCTCTTATGACTTATGTGTAATGTAATGGAATTGAGTCATGATCAAGGGCTAGCCACAGCCCAAACTGGATTAGTTTGCATTTATGCAAGCTTGTTAGATCATACTGTATGAAACGTGTTTAATCTATTGATCGTTAGTTAGCATCCTAGATACAGTGCCTTCAGAAAGTATTCATACCCCTTGACTTATTCCACATTTTGTTGTTAGCCTGAATTCGAAATTGATTAAATATATTTTCTTACACACAATACCCCATAATGACAAAGTGAAAACCATGTTTTTAGAAATGTTTGCAAATTTTTGAAAATGAAATACAGGAAGATATCTCATTTACATAAGTCTTCACACCCCTGAGTCAATACTTTGTAGAAGCACCTTTGGCAGTGTTTACAGCTGTGAGTCTTTCTGGTTAAGTCTATAAGCGCTTTCCACACGTGGATAGTGTAACATTAGCCCATTATTATTTTCAAAATTCTTCAAATCTGTCAAATTGCTTGTTGATCATTACTAGACAACCGTTTTCAGGTCTTGCCATAGATCTTCAAATAGATTTAAAATAAATAGAAGTCAAAACTGTAACTCGGCCACTCAGGAACATTCACTGTCTTCTTGGTAAGCAACTCCAGTGTAGATTTTGCCTTTTGTTTTAGGTTATTGTCCTGCTGAAAGGTGAATTAATCTCCCAGTGTCTGTTGGAAAGCAGACTGAATCAGGTTTTCCTCTAGAATTTTGCCTGTGCTTAGCTCCATTCATTTTTTTATTTTTTTAATCCTGAAAAGCTCCCCAGTCCTTAACGATTACAAGCATACCAATAACATGATGCAGCCACCACTATGCTTGAAAATATGGAGTGGTGCTCAGTAATGTGTTGTATTGGATTTGCCCCAAACATAACACCTTTGTATTCAGGACAAAAAGTGAATTGCTTTGCCAAATTTTTTGCGGTACTACTTTAGTGCCTTGTTGCAAACAGGATGCATGTTTTGGAATATTTATATTCTGTACAGGCTTCCTTCTAGGCTTGGGCAGTATCCAGATTGTCATACCTTCAAACCGACCTTGTGCCATACCGGGATATTCGGTAATTACATTTTAGTCATTTAGCAGACGCTCTTATCCAGAGCAGCGACTTACAGTTAGTGAGTGCATACATTTTTCATAATGATCATAATAACTGTACTGAACACAAGGGGCACTGTTTTCAAACCCCACTGATACTCTGTAATCCGAAGGTTAGCAGTGCTAACAGGTACATGTATAAGCCCATAGAGAATGCTAACGAGCGCAATGCGAACAATTTGTACAGTTTCTGACCTAAAGTATACAAGTAACTCAAAAATGCTACTCAGTTTGCTGCATGCACAAAACAAATATTAGCCAGCAAGGCTCTTGATCCAGGAGGGGATTCTCTGCTGTTACCAAGCCAATGCTTGATTTTGGAAGAAGCAAACCACTTAGCTAGATAGCTAACTAGCTACTAAATTAGCAAACCAAATGCACAACTGCAGAGCATTTAGCACATTCTAGACAGTTAACTTAATAGTTATAAGATATCTAGCTGGAAAACATTTAGTTGTGAATTCCATACTGTAATTAGATTCTGCACAACAGTGAGTGACTCACAAGGCTCCGGTCTCTCGTCCTTGTGTGCTTGTTAACACAAACCACGTGACTGGGGAATACTGTAAGCTTCATAATAATGTGACCGGTGAAATGAAGAACACAATGTTCTTTATCTCCTAACGTAATGCACAAGTTCATTGCAGATTTTACTTAAAAAGTAACTTGTTAAGCACATTTTTATTCCTCAACTTATGCTTGCCATAACACATAATTACCAAACATTTCGAAAAACATAATTCAACTTTGACATTGAGGTAGGCCAGTGATGACAAAATCTCAATTTAATCAATTTAAAATTCAGGCTGTAACACAACAAAATGTGGAAAAAGTCAAGGAGTGTGAATGCTTTCTGAAGTCACTGTATGTTGAGTTGCCTTGCTCTTAATCAACATCTACCAATGTATTTACTTTACCCATTGAATTGCTGCAGTATGCCTTGGCTTGTACTGTATAAGATGGCCTCATTATGGACATAACTATCTTACAGCTTACAGTTTGGCAGCTGTTAGATGGCACTATACACAAGTGGGGTAAGTCAGAACATGGCAGCATTGTATGGCAGCCATGATTCCAGACCACACAATGCAGCTACATATCTTAGAATAGATTCACCTATATAGGACAGCTACTCTGGTCTAGAGTATTGCAGAGGTTCACCCTCAGATCCGGCGGGTTAAGGTCAGAAAATATTATATTTAAGTTCGGGTCAGGCAGGTCAAATCTTGAGCAAAAAAAGAATACATTCCTCTTGTGAAATTATTATCCATATTCTGCAATTAATAATCTTCCATTGCTCTTACAATAGGCTATCCTGAAAAAGGTTGAGCGTGAGGTACTTCACAACGCATTTGAGTGACTCATTTGATCGCGGATGAAATCCCTGCAAATCGTTGTCGATGTTGCAAAATGTTTTAGTATGCTCACAGAATTAATCTATCCGGTCCAATTCCCCCTTTGCTTGCTCAGGTTGTCTTAACACATGTCTTGTAGGGATTAGTGGTAGAATTGTGACGGTAAACGAACAAGCAAACCGCAATAGTAACGGATTCAGCACCACGGACAGCAGCACCTCTACGACCTGACATTTCGGAACCATTTCTTTGTTAAGTGAAGTAGGAGCCTAGTTGCTTAAGTTGTCTTCCTCCGTTGCACACCAAGCCTTCCAAATAACATAACATAGCTTTGCCTAGAGCTTGCTTTTCTGTGGCTGCTTTGATTCCCAAACAGAAGTATAATATGAAGTGTGACACTTAGTGCCATTTGTAAACCAGTGCTGGATCGGAATGCACATCAAAAGAGAGAAATATTAGCAGGTGGGGAAAAAGTAGCCTAGCACTGGCTAGCTGTTAATGCTTAGCCTACATGCTAAAATAACAAGCCATTATTGTTGCATGTTTGACATTTTAAATGCGTTTCTGAGAAATGTTTAATCGCATGCGTTTTGAATTTACAGGTTACAGGTCGGTTGCAGGTCACTTACTGTATCACATAAAGATGAGCAGGTGCCGGATCAATTCTTTGAAATTGCGGACAGTTGTGGTTTTGAAAACCGCCGACCCGCGCATCACTAGTCGGTGTCTGTAGTAGGCTAACTAGGCTAGAAATGTGTGAATCTTGTGTGGCTAGATTTGGCTCAGCTTGATTTGACGAAGGGTCCTAATGGAGCCATTAATATGTATTACCAATGGGCATAGTAAAACTCCTGCAATCATTGTGCCATGGTGTAGACTTGAATAATGCAGCAACATCATGGCGCCATGCCATGGCTTGCTTAGCTGTGATATCAGTCAGAATATTCAGTCTAACTAAATAGATTATTGCATTCCTTGGTGCAAAATAATGCCTATTAATGGGACTAATATTGCCAAAACATCACGCTACTATTTTCCTAGCATTCGTAACTTGAATGGTGTGTGTGTGTGTGGAAGCCTAGGCAGAGAGCTCTGTAAATATTTTTTGTGTTTTAACCCCCCAAAAAAGGTTTTTATTACAATTAGTTTTGGTGGTTTTGAGCCATGGATTTGAAGACTGACTGTCAGGTTAAATCTGTTTTGGCTTGGCTAGCTGGCTAATGTTTTTGTTTGAAAAATGCATCTGGACACATTACCAGCTTTTTTGTTTCACCTGGCTGCCAGTTCCTGATACTGCGAAAACACAATTTCAGGAGTGGCTTGAAGCGTAGAGGAATACAGCAGTGCTGAGGCAGAGTGCTACTATTCTTTGTGTGGTGAGCTTTTTGGCGCCCAGAGCTGCTGAGGCATCATCCAAGTGGGTGCTGCACAGAGTGGAAGAGGAGAAGTCCAGTGGCTATAAGACTCAGGTTGGTCCCCAGACTTGCCCTCTAAAAGATCATCAGCAGACTCCATCACCATCATTGCCCATCCTTTGACCAGCTCCCTCCACTCAAGTCATGAGTTGACCCTCTCCATCTTCAGAGGATGCAGCATTCAAAGACTTGGCATCTATTGGTTGACCTGTCACGATACTGTATATTACTTGTTAGTTTTTTGCTCTTGAAGGGCTTTGAGATTCTATGAAAAGCGCTATAGAAGTTTAATTATGTATATTTTTGGTGCAATGTGCCCTCTTGTCTCTCTATTTCCAGCTCTTTAATGTGAAAGAAACCCCACAGGCGGCCACGGAAGAGGAGGTGGGGGCCTTCACCAAGCTCATCGAGGCCATGGGCTTTACAGGACCTCTCAAATACAACAAATGGGTAAGTGCCTCTAGCGTCACCAAACCACTCAAACGTCCACCCACTACAGTTCTTCATACAGCATTACTGTAGGTCTCTCACAAGTAACCTCTGATTCATCAGCTCACACTTTAATCTATATGTAGGATGTCATGTTCAATAATGTATTGAGGTTCAGTCGTGAAGGACAGCGCTTCAACCGACATCTACACACGAGATGCAGCCAAAAGAAAGTGCCGAAAGGGGAGTTTTTGCAAGTGTTGTTATTTAGGCCTAGCGTTAATTTAGTTCTGATTTAAAAACAGTGACGTTTAACAAATGCCTGAGTCACATTGAATGCACACATTCCCATCTCTAAAGACAGGACTGGCACTTTAAGAATGTCCATCCTGGTTACAGGGGGACATGAGGCTTATGAACCCCAGCAGGGGAGCATTAACCCTGTGGTGTCAACCAATAATCTTCCCTGTGGACAAGCCAAGTACCTCCATGGGTTAGGGGTGACAATGCATGCTAAAACCACCCCCTCATGGATAAGGGCCAGACCTGGGTTCAAATACTATTTGAAATCATTATAAATACTTAAGCTGTGTTTGATTGAGCTTCCCTGTTGCAATGGAACTGATAAACTGCAAACCCTGCTCATCTGGAACTAAAGCAAACACTCAAAGTATGTGAAAGGTTTCAAATAAACCTAGGTCTGGTTCCTAATGTTGGTAAAACTCTGGGCTGGGCCCTAGACTTTAAATAGGACCCAGAGATGTTTTTCTGGCTATGTTACAAGGGCAGAAAAACATATGTGACCAGGTATAGCCCCACCTTGCCCTCTGGTGAAGTTTTGCCATATTACACTTATCCAATACCACTCAGATTTCTACAAGTGCGTAGGGAGGATCGGAGGATGGTGTTTAAAGTGGCAATCAACAGTTGAAACAATTACAAAGTGTGCTCCCTGCCCCTGTTCGGGGTAAACGCTGAGGGATGGGGCTGGAGAAATGTAACCACTCTCAAATTCATAGACATAACTATGGATACAAAAATTGACTTTCCATGATATCAAAATTATATTTTTAACCAGGGGTTGGAACCCCTGGCTACAAGTGTAGCTTTTGGCGCAAAATGCGACTACAATTTTGCGAGTGGGGAGAGAGGTTTGAGGAGAAGGAGGCTTTTAAGCGCTGGGCATCTTATGATGACATGCATTATCAGAATTAGGTCCACAGAATTATACCTAGGAGGAGCGGCTTCTATGGAGGGTCTTTGACTGTCCTTTGAGCTAGCTGTCTGACAAGCTTGTCTGTTCATAGCGGCACCAGAATTAAAAACACTTCTTACCTTTTTTGTAGTTAATAAATCCAAAGTGAAACGTGATAACTAGGCGTATAGTATGGTTAACTAGCATTCCTCTCTAGCTAATAAAAAATCTCTCTCCCTATCTTCTGAAATGATGGTTGTAACATCAGTACAAATCAAATCAAATTTTATTTGCCACATGCGCCGAATACAACATGTGGACATTACAGTGAAATGCTTACTTACAAGCCCTTAACCAACAATGCAGTTTTTTAAAGAAAAATATAAGCAAGTAGCTAAAGAGCAGCAGTAAAATAAAATAGCAATAGGGAGGCTATATACAGGGGGGTACCGGTACAGAGTCAATGTGCGGGGGCACCGGCTAGTCGAGATAATTGAGGTCATATGTACATGTGGGTAGAGTTAAAGTGACTATGCATAAATAGTAAACAGAGTAGCAGCAGCGTAAAAGAGGGGGGTGGGGGGGGGCAGTGCAAATAGTCTGGGTAGCCATGATTAGCTGTTCAGGAGTCTTATGGCTTGGGGGTAGAAGCTGTTGAGAAGCCTTTTGGACCTAGACTTGGCGCTCCGGTACCACTTGCCGTGAGATAGCAGAGAGAACAGTCTATGACTAGGGTGGCTTGAGTCTTTGACAATATTTAGGGCCTTCCTCTGACACCGCCTGGTATAGAGGTCCTGGATGGCAGGAAGCTTGACCCCAGTGATGTACTGGGCCGTACGCACTACCCTCTGTAGTGCCTTGCGGTCGGAGGCCAAGCAGTTGCCATACCAGTCAGGATGCTCTCGATGGTGCAGCTGCATAACTTTTTGAGGATCTGAGGACCCATGCCAAATCTTTTCAGTCTCCTGATAGGGAATAGGTTTTGTCGTGCCCTCTTCACGACTGTCTTGGTGTGTTTGGACCATGATAGTTCGTTGGTGATGTGGACACCAAGGAACTTGAAGCTCTCAACCTGCTCCACTACAGCCCCGTCGATGAGAATGGGGGCGTGCTCAGTCCTCTTTTTTTTTTCCCTGTAGTCCACAATCATCTCCTTTGTCTTGATCACGTTGAGGGAGAGGTTGTTATCCTGGCACCACATGGCCAGGTCTCTGACCTCCTCCCTATAGGCTGTCTCATCGTTGTCGGTGATCAGGCCTACCACTGTTGTGTCGTCGGCAAACTTAATGATGGTGTTGGAGTCGTGCCTGGCCATGCAGTCATGGGTGAACAGAGAGTACAGGAGGGGACAGAGCACGCACCCCTGAGGGGCCCCCGTGTTGAGGATCAGCGTGGCAGATGTGTTGTTACCTACCCTTACCACCTGGGGGCGGCCCGTCAGGAAGTCCAGGATCCAGTTGCAGAGGGAGGTGTTTAGTCCCAGGGTCCTTAGCTTAGTGATGAGCTTTGAGGGCACTATGGTGTTGAACGCTGTGCTGTAGTCAATGAATAGCATTCTCACGTAGGTGTTCCTCTTGTCCAGGTGGGAAAGGGCAGTGTGGAGTGCAATAGAGATTGCATCATCTGTGGATCTGTTGGGGCGGTATGCAAATTGGAGTGGGTCTAGGGTTTCTGGGATAATGCTGTTGATGTGAGCCATGACCAGCCTTTCAAAGCACTTCATGGCTACAGACATGAGTGCTACGGGTCGGTAGTCATTTAGGCAGGTTATCTTAGTGACCTTGGGCACGGGGACTATGGTGGTCTGCTTGAAACATGTTGGTATTACAGACTACAGTCAGGGACATGTTGAAAATGTCAGTGAAGACACTTGCCAGTTGGTCAGCACATGCTCAGAGTACACATCCTGGTAATCCGTCTGGCCCTGCAGCCTTGTGAATGTTGACCTGCTTAAAAGTCTTACTCACATCGGCTACGGAGAGCGTGATCACATAGTCATCCGGAACAGCTGATGCTCTCATGCATGCTTCAGTGTTGCTTGCCTCGAAGCGAGCATAGAAGTCATTTAGCTCGTCTGGTAGGCTTGTGTCACTGGGCAGTTCGCGGCTGTACTTCCCTTTGTAGTCTGTAATAGTTTAAGCCCTGCCACATCCGACGAGCGTCAGAGCCGGTGTAGTACGATTCAATCTTAGTCCTGTATTGACTCTTTGCCTGTTTGATGGTTCGTCGGAGGGCATAGCAGGATTTCTTATAAGCTTCCGGGTTAGAGTCCCGCTCCTTGAAAGCGGTAGCTCTACCCTTTAGCTCAGTGCGCATGTTGCCTGTAATCCATGGCTTCTGGTTGGGGTATGTACGTACGGTCACTGTGGGGGGGACGTCATCGATGCACTTATTGATGAAGCCAGTGACTGATGTGGTGTACTCCTCAATGCTATCTGAAGAATCCCGGAACATGTTCCTGTCTGTGCTAGCAAAACAGTCCTGTAGCTTAGCATCTGCGTCATCTGACCACTTTATTAACCGAGTCACTGGTGCTTCCTGCTTTAGTTTTTGCTTATAAGCAGGAATCAGGAGGATAGAGTTATGGTCAGATTTGCCTAATGGAGGGCGAGGGAGAGCTTTGTATGCGTCTCTGTGTGTGGAGTAAAGGTGGTCTAGAGTTTATTTTTTTCCTCTGGTTGCACATTTAACATGCGGTATCCTATGCTTTGGTGGGTGGAGGGGCAGGTAGCCTAAACACGCATACACACTGGCAAAGATTTTCAGCTTGCAGGTAGACACTGAAATAAGTTTCTGATTGACAGAGTTATAACTTTGCATAGACTCTTCGTTGCGTTTTGTTGGGGGACTAGAAAAAAATGCCTGGAACGTAAAATAACATTATTAACCGGTACTCATGCTTTTGAAATAACGGTTCTGTTTATGTGGTTATTTACATTGACTTTGTTTACAAACATTGGAGTAAAACAAGCTTATATTTTGGGTTCTAAAGGAGTACGACAGTTGAACTAAGCTCATGAGGCATTAATAAGTTATATTCCTCAAGAATCAATGGGTACATATAATTTCATTTATAAGTCAGAAAATGGATTTAGCAACTGCAGATTGCCCCTTTAAATCAGAGCTGTCATTTACCTCTCCTTAGTCTGCACTACTGCTCAATTTGCACATTGGCTTTGTCACCACCGCTACAGGGCCTTAGAACAACAGAAGGTAGCATCATTTAGATCAGCTTGAAAAGCCTTCCTCTGAACCGTGTCTTAAGGTTTAAATTAGTTTGGTGTCAAAAACCTTAGGGAATGCAAAGGCATACCAACTCCAAACAATAGCTAGTGCTGCACTGATGTGCTGTGAGAGTGGGTAGCAGCAGAGTTTCTGAATGAACGTTAACTCGTGCACACAGCAGCTGAGGCTGCGCTCAAAGAGGGCCTCCCATGCCAGCGCCAAGCTTACACAGAATGCCCGGACGGAGAGAGATTTACCAGTGATTCACATTCCACTCTTCTTATGTCACCACCCACCCTCGGCCAAAGCCCTCTGCTTTTGTTATGTGTGAACTATGGTTTACATTTTGGAAAGGTTAAAAGGAAAGTGTAAAGTGTTACTCTGTGGGATACTCTTTAGGTTAGCTCGCAGGACACCTGCCTCTTCTGTCAGGAACCGTTCAAGTCTGACACGTAAAGTCTCAACTGTGACGAGTACAACTTAGCCTACATTGTTGTCTTATCAACTTATTGCTACTCTGTTTTTGCAGAAAATCAAGATTGCTGCCTTGCGCATGTACACATGCTGTGTTGAGAGAATCAACTATGATGAATTTTTTGAAAGTAAGTATTTGCCTGTATAGATTCCTTCTATGTAGTTCATTCCTTCTATAGAGTTCATCACCTGAGTGAGGTAGCCTATTCTTCCAGCCAGATGCCAATGCATACACTACAGACAGGTCTTTGTTGATCATTAATTGAGTATTTAATAAGTAATTGACAGGCAAGTAATCGATGACTATAAGATGTTGTGCTAGTCATTTCCATAGCTTTGAGAACAATGGCCGTGTAGACCTTACCAGTCCCATGGATGGAGAGAAGGGCTGCTTGGGGCTATCGACCCAAACTCCCAGAGTAACTTCACATCAACAAGACTGCCCAAGTGCCTAAAGGGACCCTTTCATCGGCATCCTGAAAGATTTACACTAGCGGTCAAAGGTTTTTGAACACCTACTCATTCAAGGGTTTTTCTTTATTTTTACTATTTTCTACATTTGTAGAATAATAATGAAGACTTCAAAACTATGAAATAACACATATGGAATTGTGTAGTAACCAAAGAAGTGTTAAACAAATCAATATATATTTTTTATTTAAGATTCTTCAAATATGCACCCTTTGCCTTGATGACAGCTTTTCACACTCTTGGCATATTATTCTACAATGTAGAAAATAGTAAAAAATAAAGAAAAACCCTTGAATGAGTAGGTGTTCTAAAACGTTTTACCGGTAGTGTATGTGACACATTACAGGCCAGTTAGTCTGACGCCCCTCTGATCTCTCCGTCCATAGAATGCTCCCTCCCCGACACGCTCAACTCCTGGTTCCTGGTGGCACAGCTCCATGTCTGGTGAGTACCTCTGTGTTACACACCCTCTACAGACCCTTCTCAGGCAGGGATTACTTAGCTTTTGCCCCCCTCTGTAAAGTTTGAAACCCCTTTTGGGAACTTCAAGTTCCCATGACGAAGCTGAGACTGTGCCTTTTATTTTCCACTTTGACCTCAATTGTGTTCCTTCAGTTTTGTCTCCCGTCTGCTATTTCTTTGAAGTCAAATCTAGACTTTTAACTGGTGTTAAGATTTTGTATTTTCTGACAAAAGGATTTGACATGGGAGACATTCTAGGCATAAGCACCAATGACGTCTAAATCAAATCAAATGTTATTGGTCACATACACATATTTAGCAGATGTTATTGCGGGTGTAGCTAAATGCTTCTGTTCCTAGCTCCAACAGTGCAGTAGTATTTAACAATTCACAACAATACACACATCTGAAAGAATGGAATTAAGAAATATATAAATATTAGGACGAGCAATGTCGGAGTGGCATTGACTAAAATACAGTAGAATAGAATAGAGTATATACATATGAAATGAGTAAAGCAGTATGTAAACATTATTAAAGTGACTAGTGTTCCATTATTAAAGTGGCCAGTGATTCTATGTATATAGGGCAGCAGCCGCTAAGGTGCAGAGTTGAGTAACCGGGTGGTGATGGCTTTTTAACAGTCTGATGGCCTTGAGATAGAAGCTGTTTTTCAGTCTCTCGGTCCCAGCATTGATGCACCTGTACTGACCTCGCCTTCTGGATGATAGCGGGGTGAACAGGCCGTGGCTCGGGTGGTCGATGTCCTCAATTATATTTTTGGCCTTCCTGTGACATCGGGTGCTGTAGGTGTCCTGAAGGGCAGGCAGTGTGCCCCCGGTGACGCGTTGGGCAGACCGCACCACCCTTCTAGAGAGCCCTACGGTTGCGGGCGGTGCAGTTGCCATACCAGGCGGTGATACAGCCCGACAGGATGCTCTCAATTGTGCGTATGTAAACATTTGTAAGGGTGTTAGGGGCCAAGACGAATTTCTTCAGCCTCCTGAGGTTGAAGAGACGCTGTTGCGCTTTCTTCACCACACTGTCTGTGTGGGTGGACCGTTTCAGATTGTCAGTGATGTGTACACCTTCTCCACTGCAGTCCCGTCGATGTGGATAGGGGCGTGCTCCCTCTGCTGTTTCCTGAAGTCCACGATCAGCTCCTTCGTTTTGTTGACGTTGAGGGAGAGGTTATTTTCCTGGCAGCACTCTGCCAGGGCCCTCACCTCCTCCCTGTCTATGTATAGAGTGCAGTGGTAAGGGCTTAATTGTTTAGGTATGTTTCTGCTTGGATAAGTATTGTTTAGAGGTAAATCTTGCCATCTTGATTTTCCAAGAAGTAAATCGAACTGGGTGTCATCCATCTACTCTATTTTCGAATAACCTAACCTCGCCACCCTTTTTGCATCTGTACTCTCAAACCCCAGGTAGTTCAGGTTATATGCCTTTAGTTAACACATGCCTTGGTATTTGATCCAGACCTGGGAAAGAAAGGTATGCATGCATGAGCTCATCAGAGTTGGGTGATGAATTGCTCTGCCACGGCCCTCTTCATCAAACATGCCCACCACTCCTCTGACTTCCTGTCAAAGCTACTTTCCTGCCACTAATTCTGTTGACTTTGGGATGCGGGATGACATAAGCTTCAAAAGCCAGGCCTGGACTCAATCAAAACTGCTGTGCGCAGGAGGCTAAACCATCTTCACGCTATGAAAATGGTGTCATGTCGTGGGAATAACGCATACGGATGTGGATTCATGCTCAAACTGGTTTAGGTTATTAGCATTTGCACCCAAGAACCAGTGAGTGAAAATGTAGAACAACCACGGATTCGGTTCTATTGACTTTTTCAGCTACCCGTTTCAGAAATTACACAGTACTAGTCAGATCAAAGCCCATTTTAAGAAAAGGGTTGAGAAAACGTGATCCCAACACAGCAAAATCGACATGAACCACTTAAAAGTAGCACTGTTACAATGACAAATTGTAACTTGATACAAGCATGTGTGACTTGAACATAAATAAATCATGCATTGACGTCAGTAGAGGATTTCCTAGGAATGGTCATGTACACTACATGACCAAAAGTATGTGGACACCTGCTTCTCTCATTCAAAAATCATGGGCATTAATTTGGAGTTGGTCCCCCTCTCTGCTGCAACAACAGCCTCCACTCTTCTGGGAAGGCTTTCCGCTAGATGTTGGAACATTGCTGCGGGAACTTGCTTCCATTCAGCCACAAGAGCATTAGTGAGGTCGGACACTGATGTTGGGAGATTAGGCCTGGCTCGCAGTCGGCGTTCCAATTCATCCCATAAATGTTCGATTGAGGTCAGGGCTCTGTGCAGGCCAGTCAAGTTCTTCCATGCCGCTCTGTCATTGCTTGTCCATATATGTGTATATACAGTCTTGGTCAAAAGTTTTGAGAATGACAGAAGTATTGGTCTTCACAAAGTTCGCTGCCTCAGTGTTATGAGATATTTTTGTCAGATGTTACTATGGTATACTGAAGTATAATTACAAGCATTCCATAAGTGTCAAAGGCTTTTATTGACAATTACATTAAGTTTATGCAAAGAGTCAATATTTGCAGTGTTGACCCTTCTTTTTCAAGACCTCTGCAATCTGCCCTGGCATGCTGTCAATTAACTTCTGGGCCACATCCTGACTGATGGCAGCCCATTCTTGCATAATCAATGCTTGGAGTTTGTCAGAACTTGTGGGTTTTTGTTTGTCCACCCACCTCTTGAGGATCGACCACAAATTCTTAATGGAATTAAGGTCTGGGGAGTTTCCTGGCCATGGACTCAAAATGTCGATGTTTTGTTCCCCGAGCCACTTAGTTATCACTTTTGCCTTATGGCAAGGTGCTCCATCATGCTGGAAAAGGCATTGGTCGTCACCAAACTGTTCTTGGATGGTTGGGAGAAGTGGCTCTCGGAGGATGTGTTGGTACCATTCTTTATTCATGGCTGTGTTCTTAGGCAAAATTGTGAGTGAGCCCACTCCCTTGGCTGAGAAGCAACCCCACACATGAATGGTCTCGGGATGCTTTACTGTTGGCATGACACAGGACTGATGGTAGCTCTCACCTTGTCTTCTCCGGACAAGGTGTTTTCCGGATGCCCCAAACAATCGGAAAGGGGATTCATCAGAGAAAATGACTTTACCCCAGTCCTCAGAAGTCCAATCCCTGTACCTTTTGCAGAATATCAGTCTGTCCCTGATGTTTTTCCTGGAGAGAAGTGGCTTCTTTGCTGCCCTTCTTGACACCAGGCAATCCTCCAAAAGTCTTTGCCTCACTGTGCGTGCAGATGCACTCACACCTGCCTGCTGCCATTCCTGAGCAAGCTCTGCACAGGTGGTGCCCCGATCCCGCAGCTGAATCAACTTTAGGAGACGGTCCTGGCGCTTGCTGGACTTTCTTGGGCGCCCTGACGCCTTCTTCACAACAATTGAACCTCTCTCCTTGAAGTTTATGATGATCCGATAAATGGTTGATTTAGGTGCAATCTTACTAGCAGCAATATCCTTGCCTGTGAAGCCCTTTTTGTGCAAAGCAATGATGACGGCACGTGTTTCCTTGCAGGTAACCATGGTTAACAGAGGAAGAACAATGATTTCAAGCACCACCCTCCTTTTAAAGCTTCCAGTCTGTTATTCTAACTCAATCAGCATGACAGAGTGATCTCCAGCCTTGTCCTCGTCATAACTCTCTCCTGTGTTAACGAGAGATTCACTGACATGATGGCAGCTGGTCCTTTTGTGGCAGGGCTGAAATGCAGTGGAAATGTATTAAGTTAATTTTCATGGCAAAGAGGGACTTTGCAATTAATTGCAATTCATCTGATCACTCGTCATGACATTCTGGAGTATATGCAAATTGCCATCATCAAAACTGAGGCAGCAGACTTTGTGAAAATTAGTATTTGTGTCATTCTCAACTTTTGACCACGACTGTATTCTTAAATTCCATTCCTTTCATAGATTTGTGTGTATTGGGTGTATGTTGTGAAATTGTTAGATATTACTGCACTGTTGGAGCTAGAAGCACAAGCATTTCGCTACACCCGCAATAACATCTGCTAAACACGTATGTGACAAATTAAAATTTGATTTGATCTCGACAAACCATTTCTGTATGGACCTCGCTTTGTGCATGGGAGCATTGTCATGCTGAAACAGGAAAGGGCCTTCCCCAAACTGTTGCCACAAAGTTGGAAGCACCGAATCGTCTAGAATGTCATTATATGCTGTAGTGTTAAGATTTACCTTCACTGGAACTAAGGGACCTAGCCTGAACCATGAAAAACAGCCCCAGACCATTATTCCTCCTCCACCAAACTTTACAGTTGGCACTATGCATTGAAGCAGGTAGCGTTCTCCTGGCATCCACCAAACCCAGATTCGTCCGTCTGACTGCCAGATGGTGAAGCGTGATTCATCACTCCAGAGAATGCATTTCCAGTGTCCAATGGCGGCGAGCTTTACACCACTCCAGCCGACGCTTGGCATTCAGCCAAAGAGTTCAATCTTGGTTTCATCAGACCAGAGAATCATGATCAATGAAAACAGGATGCACCTGAGCTTAATTTCCAGTCTCATAGCAAGGGGTCTGAATACTTATGTAAAATGTTTTTATTATTATTTATGTTTTGGTAAAAATGTCTAAAAACCGGTTTTTGGTTTGTCATTATGGGGTATTGTGTAGATTGATGAGTAATACAATTGATTTAAACTATTTTAGAATAAGGCTGTAATGTGGAAAAAGGGAAGCGGTCTGAATACTTTCCGAATGCACTCAAGTTGATTATTGACTATCTTTTTGTTTTCTCCTGTAGGATGTGTCTGGTGCGGGTAAGGCAAGAAGGCCGTGAGGGGAAGTACATGTGCCGCTACATCGTCCACTCAATGTGGGAGGACGTGGAGCAGAGGAGCAAGATCATGGGAGTAAGTCCCTCAAACTCCAACCTCGTGTCTTTACCAGTCTAAAATCTGGGACCGTATCTATCAAGCGTCTTAAAGTAGCAGTGCTGATGTAGGACCCTGGACAACACCCTGCCGTTCTCTGCAAATATCAAAGCAGTGACTCGCTCCTGCAGGTTCATGCTCTACAACATCCGTAGAGTACGACCCTATCTCACACAGGAAGCGTTGCAGGTCCTAATCCAGGCACTTGTCATCTCCCGTCTGGACTACTACGACTCGCTGTTGGCTGGGCTCCCCGCTTGTGCCATCAAACCCTTGCAACTTACCCAGAACGCCGCAACCCGCCTGGTGTTCAACCTTCCCAAGTTCTCCCATGTCACCCCGCTCCTCCGCATACTCCACAGGCTTCCAGTTGAATCTTGCATCCACTACAAGACCATGGTACTTGCCTAAGGAGCAGCAAGAGGAACTGCCCCTCCCTACCTTCAGGCTATGCTCAAACCCTACACCTCAACCCGAGTACTCCGTTCTGTCACCTCTGGTCTCTTGGCCCTCCCATCCATACAGGAGGGCAGCTCCCGCTCAGCCCAGTCAAAGCCCCAATGGTGGAACCAGCTTCCCCCTGAAGCCAGGACAGCAGAGTCCCTGCCCATCTTCTGAAAACATCTAAAACCTTACCTCTTTAAAGAGTATATTAAATAACCACCAAAAACCACCAAAAATGTGTCTTTTGTGAACAAAGTCACGCTTGACTTATGGGATAGATTATGAAAGTAGGCTATACAGAAGTAGTGTTGTTGCATAACCCCTGAACCAGTTCTCTTGAACCAGACCAGACCAGTTTTGACTGTCAGGCATGTCAACATGGCGGCAGGTAGCTTAGTGGTTAAGAGCGTTGTGCCAGTAACCGAAAGGTCGCTGGTTCTAATCCCCGAGCCCACTAGGTGAAAAATCTGTCGATGTGCCCTTGAGCAAGGCACTTAACCCTAATTGCTCCTGTAAGTCGCTCTGGATAAGAGCGTCTGCTAAATGACCAATTATTATATTATTATTATAACATGTACAGAGTTGGTTGCTGGCCAACAATTTCACCAGCTAAAGTCAGACGTCCTGTCCCCCACCATCTATTTGTTGTAAGGAATGATTGCCCTGGTGATCAAGTCAAGAGTTCTGCCTAAGTTCCCCCCTTGGAGCTTTAAGTAATACTTTTCTATAATGTTCATGTTGAAGTCTTCAAAATTATTTATGGTTACAACTTGTAATAGAGGAAGATGTCTGACAAATGAATACCTTCCTTGTAAAACAAATGTAAATGTCTCCATTTCGAAGGCCCTGCCCTCGTATAACTGTTACTGCGCTCTCACTAACGTCTGAGGCCGACGTGACCTTCGCCCATTTGCATGATTGACTTGCCCCCTATAGTTTTACAAGCTCACCCCACTTGGGAACAAGCAAGGGGGAACGAGGGAATGAAATCACCAGCGTTCTCGTGCCACCATCCGGACGGCTTTTCCATGTGGTAACACCTCTCCTTCCGAGCGGACTGTAAATCAAGAGGGAAAGGTTTCGGCATTGGACTTTATAAGAAAATCCTAAACTTTTCAGATGTCTCGTCTAGGGAAAATGTATTAGGTCATTATCAGTATTATTTAGCCCAGCTGAGGCGGGCGAACTGCTGCCAGCTATTTGGAGTAATCCTCTGTGAGTAGAGCAGCTTTTACAGGGCCCTGAATAATCACCTCGACATACTGTAACTGCCACTATTAAATGGTTGGAATCAGCTGATGGAGCCATCCCGAAACATGAAGTCTGTGTATAGGCCTACACTGTTGTACATGGTAGTTCCATACAACACCTGAAGTCAAAGGTCGCTGCTCTCCATGAACCTGTCACCCAAAAATGCCTCGTTAACCTCTACGGGATCGGTGTCCCGTATACGGGACGGTTGAGCTAACGTGCGCTAATGTGATTAGCATGACTGTTGTAAGTAACAGCAAACTTTCCAGGACATAGACATGTCTTATATGGGCAGAAAGCTTAGATTCTTGTTAATCTAACTGCACTGTCCAATTTACAGTAGCTGTTACAGTGAAAAAATAGCATGCTATTGTTTGAGGAGAGCGCACAACAAAAAAAACATATCACGGCAACTGGTTTGATACATTCGCCTCTGAAGGTAAATAAAGTACTTACATTCAGTAATCTTGCTCTGATTTGTCATCCCGAGGGTCCCAGAGATAAAATGTAGCATAGTTTTGTTTGATAAAATCCATTTTTATATTCAAATGTAGGAACTGGGTTCTACAGTTTGAACCCTTGCTGTCTCTGGCTCCACCCCGCCCGGCCATCTAGATGTGTGAAGTTAGTTTATAAGCTAATGATCCATCATGTACTGTGTAAACGTACATTTTGTATTACCATATCATTTTTGTATGTTCTTGAAAATGTATCAATCGACCAATTAGGCACATTTGGGCAGACTTGAAACAAAGTAGTCCAGTATTGCAATGCTTCACTGGATCAATCTGAAACTTTGCACACACACTGCTGGCCAAAATCTACATTACGCCTAAACTGCAATATTATACTGTGGCCTTTCTCTTGCGTTTTCTATTATTATTTCTATAGTCTATGAAATGCATGTTTTTTTTGTTTGTATTATCTTTTACCAGATCTAATGTGTTATTCTCCTACATTCATTTCACATTTCCACAAACTTGAAAGTGTTTCCTTTCAAATGGTATCAAGAATATCCATATCCTTGCTTCAGGTCCTGAGCTACAGGCAGATTTGGGTATGTCATTTTAGGTGAAAAAAAAGGGGTCCGGTCCTTAAGAGGTTAAAGCCTATTTTCCATGGAGGATGTGGGCACCCTTTGGCGTGAGCTCATTCTCGACTGCGGCGGTGGCGGGGGAATGAGAACCCGAACGGTAAAGATTGATGATGACTGCAGAAGCGGGGCCCTCGCTGTAAGCTCAGTCGTTTGCCTTCTCCCGAAGCTTAACCACTCACACTGCCCTAACCTGGCCTCATTTTCCTGCTCCTCCACCCAACTGGCCTGAGGGCACCACCAGGGCAAGCCCATGTAACTCCAGAGGAGAGGGTTACTAAAATGAAGGGACCCCTTGTTCCCCACAGCGTTAACATGGCACTGAGCGGATGGCTCTACCAGTGCATATTCTGTTCTTTACCTGGACAATGGAGCTATAGACCAGTACAAGGCTGACATACACGGGCTGTTTTGTAGAAACCAAATGTAATGCAGCTCAAGCTGTAGCCTATCTGCTTTTTGTTTTGGATTCGGACTGAAGCAAAACATAGGCTAATCCTCAAAAGAATATGGGCCTTCCAGGTATCCACACTACCCCTCTCACTGCTAGAGCCCCCATGCAATCGTTTCAGATCTAATGTTACTTGCTAATTGTGTAAAACGAAGGGAAAAAAACTTGTCAGGTAGTCTGGTGCTTGGGGGGTGATGATTATGCGTAGGTCCCTAATTATGCACAGGTGCATCTTCTCGCGCCACGCCGATAGCCAACGCAGAGGTGAGTGGAAGCCCTTAAACTGATTTTTAATAAATGAGATCACTTTCCAAAAAATGTATCCAAAAAGACCAGAGATTGCTGCATGTATGTTACTATGGAGAATTGCACAGAGCAGAGGTTAAGGGACTTGTTGTTATTGTTCTAAGTGGGAGTTCTACTCCTGTCTATCACGCCTGCTCCAAATTGACCTATTGGGCGTTTTGAACAGGTAAAACTAGGTCCTCATCTATTGAGTTCTCAAACCGCTTCCAGGTCACGGTTTTTCAAGCTGCGGAGTTTGTATGGAAGATTCCTCGAGGTGACCTCTGATTCATTCTTGTCATAGCCTATTTAGTTCTGTGTTTTTACTCCCCTATTCTATTACAATGCATTCATTATCAAAACTCCCTGAGTATTATTAGTGTCCTTGGTGTACCTAATACAGTACTGTATGTAAGTGAGTGCTGTACCTGTGTATTTATGTAAGTATAGTCCCCTCTACCTGCTCGACACACTCAGTGAGTGGCCACAAAGATCCCCTACTCTCAACCTAGTCCAGCACTATAAACTGGCTCCAACAGCCCAAGGAAAATGTTATTTATATTTCAGGAGAGGAAAATGTGTGTGTGTGCGCGCTCGATGTGGAAAATGTGAACAAATTTGAGGAACTCAAGCAAAGCAGTAGTCTTGGGACTGTTTACCCAAAATAGTGTTAAAACCAACTTCGGTCCTTGCTCTGCAGTTGGCTAACCCACATCCCTCCCTCCCTCTCTTTCACCCTTCTAGATTGATGCCATTCACCGGAAGGAAAGCATGAGGGCTATGACAGAGACCTTCTACGCTGCTATTTTTGGATATGATGAGGTAAGACCCAGCTATGACCATTAGGGTTATCTTTGCCTCAGCTGTGCCAGATCGTATAAAACACAACACACACTGGAAACGATGACTGGCAACGGAAGGGCCCCAGAGACCAAGCCTGCTTGTGAACGGGTCAGGAGCTAGCATGTCGTGGTGCTGTTCTAGGCCTGACTGTCGGAAAGGTCCTGCAGGAGCCAGCGTGCTCGGTCAGGTCCAGTCCTCAGTGCTATTTGACGAAGCAGTGATGGAAGGTAAAGATTCACCACCTCTGTGTTGCATTTGAAGGGAATCCTTTCGGACGACGGGGTGCTGGCGGCCGCCCTGTGGAGGAACATGTTCAACCGCCAGTGCGAGGACCCCAGGCAGCTGGAGCTCATGGTGGAGTACGTCCGCAAACAGGTGAGAAAGGAAGACAACCCTCCATATCACCACAGATGGGACACGAGGACCCTAGTCCTCAGTGGTTCCCCAAATAAAGAAGATAAATGTTTCTGGCCACGAAGTTTTCACCCGGCACCCAAAAAGAATCTGCCCCCGACTTATCAGGTTTGGAAAGACCTGAGGGACGTGGGGACCCCCAGACGTTTCACTATTTTGTTGTAGCCCTGAACTAGCTCACCTGATTCACCTATTCAAGGGCTTGATGAAAAGTTAAATCAGGTGTGCTAGTTCTAGAATAGTTCAAATACATGGAATGGCTGTGGGTCCCTGAGGAGATATTTGAAAAGGTCTGCTCTAGGGTGTTCTCAAACAGTTCATCTCTTTTTTTGTGAACAATTGTCTTCAAATTCCACTCTGTAGAGCCTAGTTTTTATTCCTTTTAGTTATTTAAACTGGAGGCGCAAGTGTTAAACGCACGTTAGTTTGTCATTTTGTCATGTAAAAACTGAAGCACTGGCATTTCCCATCCCTTATGCCAGGTTCGGCAATTTACCTGTCTAACATCAGCTCGCTTGCGCTGAGGTGGGAGGGATGAAAATATAGTTGTGTCCTTAAAAACATGCACCAATATGCCAATTTCAGTCAGCGCAACTAGGGATATTTAAGACCGACCAAAAGCTGGTTTAGAGGTAATGCAATTGGTTATGGCATTGATTTTGCCAGCGGAGAGGCACACCGTAGACTTACATAAATGTTTTATTAAAAGCAAAACTGTCAACAGATATTCCCAATTTTTTACTCTAAAATTTGCAGTTTTGTCACACAACATAATGCAACAGATGTCTCAAGTTTTGAGGCAGTGTGCATTTGGAATGCTGACTGCAGGAATGTCCACCAGAGCTGTTGCCAGATAATTTAATGTTAATTTCTCTACCGCAAGCCGCCTCCAACCTCATTTTAGAGAATTTGGCAGTACGTCCAACCGGCCTCAAAACTGCAGACCACGTCTTACCACGCCAGCCCAGGACCTCCACATCCGGCTTCTTCACCTGCAGGATGGTCTGAGATGAGCCATCCGGACAGCTGATAACTGTGGGTTTGCACAACCAAGGAAGTACTGCACAAACTGTCAGAAACCGTCTCAGGGAAGCTCATCTGCGTGCTCGTCGTCCTCACCAGGGTCTTGACCTGACTGCAGGTCGGACTCCCTCTAGTCATTTGTGTGTCTTAATTATTTCATCAAACAGTGCGCTTAAAGCATCAGACAAGCTCAGTGCATATAGTTGATTTGATGTCATAGGATGTCTCTATATATGGAAAAATACAAATACAATCGATTTGTCTAAAGTATAGACGAGTCTCTGTCGACCCAAGATTTTTTTTAGTCGGGGACATCTCTAGTGGCAACTTGGAGACACCATGTTAGACCTCTCACTCAAACCCTTTTTCTTATCTTGCACCTACTCCAAAATGTATATGAATGTTCTTATGTTACTGAATGTATCCAGAGTATTTTCAGATTTCATTATTGACAAATGCTGTGAAAAATACAGTGGCGTAACATAAGTAAAAAAATACTTTGAAGTACTACTTAAATCGTTTTTGGGGGTATCTACTGTACTATTTATATTTTTGACAACTTTTACTTTTACTCCACTACATTCCTAAAGAAAATGTACTTTTTATTCCCATACATTTTCCCTGGCACCCAAAAGTACTAGTTACATTTCGAATGCTTATCAGGACAGGAAAATGGTCCAATTCACAAACTTATCAGAAGAACGCAGACATCACTACTGCCTTTGATCTGGCAGACTCCCTTAACACAAATGCTTCATTTGCAAATTATGTCTGAGTGTTGGCGTGTGCCCCTGGCTATCGGTAAAAAAAAAAAAAAACTCAAGAGAATCGGTTTGGTTAATATAAGGAAATTCAAATTATTTATAGAATTTTCTTTTGATACTTAAGTATATTTAAAAACAAATACTTTTAGACTTTTACTCAAGTAATATTTTAGTGGGTGACTTTTACTTGAGTCATTTTCTATTAAGATATCTTTATTTTTACTGAAGTATGACAATTGGGTACTTTTTCCACTGCTGGTGAAATGCACATTAAATCAAGTCTGTTTGGATTCAGTCTTGTTAGGTGAGCTGTTGTGTCCTCACCTTTTGGTCTGATAATTTCCCCATAATCTCCAAAATGTTCTATTACAATTGCTGCCATGGTCATGCATCATGTTTTTTTTATAGTTCTTCTATTAGAAACATTTCAATTTGGCCATATCCATATAGGCCAATTTCGACGAGGGTTAAAGGTGGCGGTTTTACGGTCAAACTAAATCAAGCGTTAGACCATTTCCTCAACCCGAGCCAGCGGGCGACAGTGGAACTCTGACATTAGTACGAAAGCAAATGGAAGTGGCATTAGGGGGAACGTGTGACTGCGGTGACGGCCACTCCACTGGCATCCCCCTTGGTCCTGAGTTATTGGTGTGTACGTAGTCCAGGGCCTGACCCACTCCTGCCTGCTTGCATTAAAGGTGTCCTCGCATCACTGCACACAGACGGGGCCATGCCACAGGTTCCAGCTAGCTAGTGTACATTACAGGCACTGCCAGGAATTTATGAGACGAGGAGGGACTTTTCATGAGGAAAACAAACAAAAGATACTGTTTCTCTGAGCTCGCAGGGATTTCAAGAGCATAGACGAGCTCTTGAAAGGGGGAGTAAATGAGAGACGGGGAGAAAAGTCAGTGCAAAGATAACAGGTTTGTTAATCAAGTGGGCCAGAGCTGTTTCATCACAGGTGCAGCACATAAAGCCTGGCCATGCCTGATGACACGCTACAGGAGAGGAGATCGCAGGCCCTCGGCCCCTGCCCCAGCGACGAAGTCACGTACAGTGGTCGCGCGCTGCACTGGCATCGCCACTGCATCATTACACACACTAGTTACTGTCATCAAATTCTCCTTCCATGAGCTCAGGCCACTTGTTTAATTAAAGATGCAATATCTAACTTTTTGGGTGACCCTACCAAATTCACATTGAAATGTGAGTTGTACAGTGCATTTGGGAAGTATTCAGACCCCTTGACTTTTTTTCCACATTTTGTTACGTTATAGCAATATTCTAAAATTGATTAAATTGTTTCCTGAGTTCATGAGTTGGATGACCCTTCAAATAGATTTTTCCCAGTCGGAGCTCGTTTTTTCAGAGTTCCCAGTTGTTTTGAATGCACTGAAGTCAAGTTAATGGCAAGCTAATTACAGAAAATAGCTTATGAAAGCAGAGCTTTCTGCTTGAGAATTGTTGTACTTGGACACTGTCTCATCGGCCTAACGTTTTATCCTAATTTGACTTTGATGCAGGTCATGTTCTTCACATTGCCGTCTCTGGTAAACACACACTAGATCAAATAAAATCAAAGTTTATTTGTCACATGCACAGGATACAGAAGGTGTAAATGGTACAGTGAAATGGTTACTTACATAGTGGAGTCTTTTATGTTTAGACATGTAGCTAGCTAGCTAAACAATTAACCATAATACCAACTCATAACATTACTACCATGCATGAATCTACAGGTAGCTAAAGCTAACCAACTAGGTTCAATGTTAGCTAGCTAGCTAACATTAAGCTATAAGTAGCAATGCAAATGGATTTCTGAGATACAAATAATATTACTACACAGATCATACACGTAACATTAGCTAGCTAACAGCATGCTTTAACTTGCAATGAAAACGACTTTCTGATAAAATTAGAAACGTATAATATCTTAAAATGTAGCTAGCTTTACTCTTACCCGTATACATTGATGAACGCTTCTCCCTCTCTGTCATGGTTGCCATGTTGCCGTTAGTTTGAAGATGTAATCCGGAGACGGGTGGTTTATACAACAGCCTTCTGACTTTTTTCGACTCCCTCGGTCAACTTCTTCCGTGACAACAACACGCTGTTTCTTCCCCATCACTGTCATCAGAAGACTCTACAATGTCTGGTTCAATGAAAAAGACGATTTCATCATCGTCTGATTCATTTTCAGAGGCCGAGAGAGTCAGCATGGCACAATCGTCCTACAGAAAGTAATCCATCTCAATTTTTTCCCACTGATCTTGACTTTGTCGATAACACCTGTAAAATTCAGGGCAGCAATGTTGAGAGCAGTAGCAACACTTTAGCAGTTCTTCATATCTTTCAAAAAAGCTGCGGTAGAAAGGATTATCAACATACTGAGCAGCTCATGTTATAGACAGAAGTGTGCTACATGGCAGACCAATCCGAACTCATCTCTCGGCATGTCCAGCCCATCCATTATCTCAGCCAGTCATGGCTAGCGGGAAGGTTCCTGTCTTTTTCCGTGGCTAAACCAACTAGGCTTGTAATTTAACAATTGTATTCGTATTTACAGATGGCATACAAGTTTGTTATTAAGACACATGAAAGTCCACATGTTCCAGAAGGCATTTCTGCCCAAAAACGCATTTTGATAAAATAATAATAATAATTAAAATCCTGTGAAGTAGTGACATGCGACATATGCCTAGCTTCTTGAAATGGGTCACAATTTACAGCACTTGTTGAGTTTTCGACCAACACAAAATACTATGTTGAGAAAAATACTTGAGTAGGTTGCTTTGGTTTGGGACGCCATTTCAATGTTCCACAAACTATCATTGACTATTCAGTACATAATAAAAATATGAAACATCAGGTTGCTTCCTCTGTAATGGATGTCCTTGTGCCAGTCTTAATGGTGCTTTCTTGGTGTCTTTATCTGTACTTGTTCCACACAGATGCAATTTATCGATGCTCTGGACGGGGAGGACCTTCTGCTGACTGGGGAGGTCAATTGGCGCCCCCTTGTGGAGGAGAATGCACAGAGCATCCTGAAGGTCCCCACCCCCACCTACAACGACGCTGGGCTCTGAGACGCCCACCCCCACCACCCTGCTCCACCTCCTCCTCTACCCATACTCCTCTGTGTCCAGAGGCACTGTACTCTAAGCAGGGTAGCCATGCAGGGACTCACACACCTGATCTACACTACACACACTCTCTCCCTTCATCCCCCCAAAACAATCCCTGAACCGGTGTCCCATCAACCAACCAACTGACTGGCAGGGAATACCATCCACCGCCATTTTGTATACGTTTTGAGAGTAAGAAGATGCCCGCTTGGAATGTTGCACTTCCTTAAAAAAATTATAACTAGAAAGGATCTATATTTGTTTCTTTTCTGATGCCATAATATTTATAAGCGTTATTCATAGCCTTTGAGCCTACTGTCGAAGTTTGTCTGCAGCGGTTCTGTCTTCCAATGCTCTCAGAACGTTATGGGAAACCTGTACATGTTGCCTCGTGAATCATCACTGTATAAAATGGGGCTTTTGTCGTAACTGAAATAAGTCTCAAAGGAATCTTTTGTTTCTCTTTTTGTTTGTATGAATCCTCCTTCAAAATAAATCTGGAAACCAGTAATGAAGTGCCTGATGAATGTAGCACAGTTTTGCGTAACAGGTGTGCTAGTTGATACATGTTTGTCAGTCACCTCTCAGCCAAATGCCGTAGGTCTTTGACAGTGAATGGAGGCTTCTCCATGGAAATGGTGGTGTTGGGTTTCCCTCTGACTGACAGATCACTGTCTCGTGGGTCCACAAGGGGCTCTGGGAGGGAAAGGGTCTACTGGGGTCTGTGTATGTGTGAGAACCAATCTAAAGGGTGTTTTAAGAAAGGGAAGTTTTGTGCTCTGGTCTGGAGAAGAGAGACATGGATACAGACTCTTCTCAGGACTAACAGTTCAAATGCAAATCAATTACAGATGCCCCACCATGAGGCACTTTTTGTTAAATTCATCTGAATGAATTTGAAATGGTACATCATATACACCTCCAGGAAATGTCTCAATTTTTACACCTTTGAGATCTACACAAAGTGCCTAAGGCTAGGGGTTCGTTTGGAATTGGGTATGTGTGTGAGTGTCTGTGTGTGTGAGTGTCTGGCCATCCGTGTGGCTGTTCAGCTGAACGACTGTGAGAGAGGGAGTGGGCCCTTTTAGCTTCCACCTCCTGCATTTGTTTTAGGGCTGTTTTCCACAGCAGGGGGCGCAAGTTCTCTCATCATTCAGTGAAATCACCCCATCCATACAGTCCTTCACCTATGCTTCTAACACTCATATGGGACATGTATGTTACATTTTCCATGAAAGTTTAGAAAACGCATCTTATGAAAGACAACAATCCAAAACTAGCGATGGGGCATAAACATGTTATTGGTCATTTTATGACGCTTGGAAGTGATATAAACAAAGATGGAGTCATCAGCAAGTCACCATTGTTCACTTAAGCCACAGGTCTATATAAAAAGGACTTTATATACGGTGGCTTAATTGTTGCCAGTGCTTAGTACTACATGGTCCTATGATCCCGTTTGGTTTACCTTTCTAGGCATATAGGTATATTTGCTCTGCGGGCTGCCAGGCGCTGACCTCTGCTGCTAACACCGAGCGATCATGTGCAGGTTTACAGCACAGTGGTTTTAGAGCAGTCATCAGGACAGCAGGAAAACTAACGCAGTCTTCCTCTGTGAAATGATCCTTCAGGTCTGTCACCTGGTGTTTGCTTACTACGCCATGACCCACACAGCCTGCTCACATGACCAGGCAGGATTCAGTGTGCCGCTTCTGTTGTGTCATTACGTCTTCCTGCACTGTGACCCTTTTGGGTTCAGATCACTATCACTATTTCCCCATTTCCTCTGATTGTTTGTGTTCAGATTGGTGCTCCACCGTTCTACAAAGATTATTTTGTGATCTGAATAGTGTTGCGGTAATCTTATCAAAGATAACCTTTGAGTTTTCCTGACCTTGTGACTCGACTAGGAAAAACTCAGGGCTCTAACTACCACCGGTATATTTCCAGTTTGGGTGAAAGTTGCCTTAGTGAATATTTCCAGTGAATTGTTGGATGAGGCAGTTCTTCTCCTGTCGTGAAACAAATGTGGTATTACCCATAGTTGAAGTACAGTAGTCTCATCTATGTCTAATAGATATACAGTGTAACGCCCAACCTTCCCCCAAACTATATTTAACAACCCACCCAGAATAGTGCATCTCAAACAGACTTTGAACAGGAAATGGCAAACTCAAGTCGGCTTAGTCAGTGTTCCCATGGTACTAAACTGTAAATGTCCCGAGGCCCAGACCAGAAAGTGACAAACAGTGTCTTGGAAAAGGTCTACGTTAAGCTGTTGAGAGCAATGTTGTCAGACTGCAATTTATTACCATGAGCTGGATGGAGGCCCTGGCACCGCACCAGGGAGTCAACTGTTTCAAACACTGCCCTGTTTTTTCCTATTTGTTTTCTTCACGAGAGTCCTGGAGGAGCACTATAGCGACATCCAGATGACAGGCACTCACCCTGCTGCTGTGTTAAGGGAGTGTTTAGTGCGTACCTATGGGTGGAGGTTTGATGTCACAAACCCAGTGGTATCACGGCTAAGCTCGTTTCAGGTGATATGTGTGATCTGTAGGTATAAGCAGTACTGTTAGTAACATGAATGCAGAAGATTGTTTCCCCCTAAGAAGATAATGTGGTATGTTGATGTAGCGTAGCTCGGAAAACATTACGAGGGTTTTGCCCCACGTTGATTTCAGAGAAATGGTTTTAATGGGGATGTCAAATAATCAATCAAGAATGACATACTCCAAAGTGCTCAGTGAACATCTGAGATGATGGCTGTTTTTTTTTCTTATGATATCAATTTTGCAGGGATAAACATCTGCATGGCCTTTCCAGTAATGAAATTAGGTCATTTTAAGCATTTGTACTCTTAAATCTCTACCCGGTACAGCCAGAAGAGGACTGGCCACCCCTCGGAGCCTGGTTTCTCTCTAGGTTTTTTCCTAGGTTCCTGCCTTCTCTGGAGTTTTTCCTATAGCTGTGCTTCTGCCTTGCTTGCTTTTTGTGACAACTGCTGATGTAAAAAAGGCTTTATAAAATGCATTTGATTGATTTGCCATGAAGATATCATCTGGATATGTTAACTTTGTAGACTGCCTCTGTCAATAAATAACTTTACAGGTTGTGTCTCAACATCAGAAATCTCGTTCACCTAAATGGCTGGTAGTTAATTCACAATACATACAGTGCATGTGAGGCTATCATGAAAAGGACTACAGAGTAAGCCAAGCACTTCTCAATTGTCGTGCCTAATCCATTCATTTAAGAACCCGTTCCTCTATCTGCTACTGTCAATCTAACTACACTTTATTCAGCCAGTCTTTACAGGCAATTCCCAGGAGGTTGAACATGATCTAGGAGGCGCATGGATTAGCAGGGTGAGAGCAGCTAGCTAAGAAGGTTATCTGATGAAACGTTCCATGTTATAGTATTTTGTTTTAGATCCAATGCTGTTAGTCAAGACTCTACAGTAGGATTGTCCGCTGTTGCCCATAATGTAGCATAACGTAGAACTGTCTTGTGAGCCCTACTTAACGCACGCATGTGGATGCAGCTTGGTTGGATAAATAGACAGGGAAATAAGTGCTAAGTTGTGTTTTTTTTTCTGACAATCAAGTCGGAATGTTTTCCATCGCTGATTTTTTTTTTTTTTTTTAAAGGCTCAGAACTGACACATCTTACAGAATATGTATAGTATGCAACACCTCCAGCATGTGCTACAGTATCATTATGGCAACAAAAGTATTTATCCACAGAGTGTATTCATTAGGAGAGTGTTGGCCTTGTGTTATATGGGGCGTCCTTGACTTGTATCAACTTTTGCTGAGCGGTTGCTGGGACAAGCTTGAGTCGGTCACATCTTTTTAATCAAATCAAATTTTGCAATTTGTACTTGCCCTCCCTGCAGGGCTGTGGCTGTCATTTCCATTTAGAATATAACTCCTGTTATTTAAGCATTACTTAGCACCACCCTTCACAAGCAATCAGATCAAAACCATTATTTGAGCTCTCCATCCTGAAAAGTCAGAAAAGCTGAGGAAGAAGGTGCCAAAGGTGCCAGATGTCTCTGGGTAGTTCAGAAATTCTATGGCAGTGCTCCAACTTCCATTGTTTGTTTTTACTGGAGTAATGGGTGGTGGCATATTAGTCTTGGTGAGATATTTATGTATACATTAATAAATTAGGCTGGCACGTAGCTCATAGTCAATTTATTATTGCGATTGCCATTTGACCTATTTGAAAGGTCCAATTTGTAGTTCTGAGAATATATGTCCACTCAAACTCGGCAAGATAATCCTGCTGTATATTATTGATTGTGATTTCCAAATGATCAGTCGAAAAGAAGTTGAGGTCCCATATTTAAAAAGAGAAAAGGGAATATCCGTTTTACTATTTTGCTGGTCCCAAAAGTGGTGGGAGCAGCAAAGCAGTGAGCGAACATGATATTTTTCTCTGTTTATTGGACCTTCTTTTTGTCCAGCTCCTGTTATTATTGTGGATGTGCGTAAAACCCCCTCCGTTCATTATTCTTATATCTGTTACAAATAATGTGCTGTTCACAACACAAGTGCTTCCTGTTGTATCACAATGAGCTGCATAACCATTACCTCTATGGGCAACAGTGTAGCTTCCTCATTGTCTAAATATATTTTATATAACACTATTGATGAACACTATATAACATTATAGACACTGAAATTACAGCCTGAAGTTATTACATACAGTGGGGGAAAAAAGTATTTAGTCAGCCACCAATTGTGCAAGTTCTCCCACTTAAAAAGATGAGAGAGGCCTGTAATTTTCATCATAGGTACACGTCAACTATGACAGACAAATTGAGGAGAAAGAAATCCAGAAAATCACATTGTTGGATTTTTAATGAATTTATTTGCAAATTATGGTGGAAAATAAGTATTTGGTCACCTACAAACAAGCAAGATTTCTGGCTCTCACAGACCTGTAACTTCTTCTTTAAGAGGCTCCTCTGTCCTCCACTCGTTACCTGTATTAATGGCACCTGTTTGAACTTGTTATCAGTATAAAAGACACCTGTCCACAACCTCAAACAGTCACACTCCTAACTCCACCATGGCCAAGACCAAAGAGCTGTCAAAGGACACCAGAAACAAAATTGTAGACCTGCACCAGGCTGGGAAGACTGAATCTGCAATAGGTAAGCAGCTTGGTTTGAAGAAATCAACTGTGGGAGCAATTATTAGGAAATGGAAGACATACAAGACCACTGATAATCTCCCTCGATCTGGGGCTCCACGCAAGATCTCACCCCGTGGGGTCAAAATGATCACAAGAACGGTGAGCAAAAATCCCAGAACCACACGGGGGGACCTAGTGAATGACCTGCAGAGAGCTGGGACCAAAGTAACAAAGCCTACCATCAGTAACACACTACGCCGCCAGGGACTCAAATCCTGCAGTGCCAGACGTGTCCCCCTGCTTAAGCCAGTACATGCCCAGGCCCGTCTGAAGTTTGCTAGAGTGCATTTGGATGATCCAGAAGAGGATT